ATAGACAGACAGACAGACATAATATAACCCCCGGCAAAATAAAAATTAAAGGACATAAACATCAAGAAATCACGCCTCAAATCGGAGAAAACCCTTAAAGTATTTGTACTAAAATTTAATTTAAAATAAAATAAAAATAAAATGTAATTTAAAATAAAATTTAAAGATTGATAAGTAGGGAAATATACTGCAATACAACGATATAGTACCACAGTATAGCACCTCAAATTACAGTACAACTTAATATAGAGTAGTGTTACAATGTACTTATATAGTACTAAACAGTATAGTGTAGTACTACAGAGATAGTATAATGTAAGATTGTTGTCAGACAAACATCCTTGCATCAGATTACAACTACTATTCTTGTGTGTCTAGACTAGACTCTCCGCAGCCAGGCATATACACTGCATACAGACACGTATACATACATACATACAAACATACGTACAAACATACATACATACATACATACATACAAACATACATACGTGTATATAGCATACATACATACATATGTACGTACGTAGATACATACAACAAACGTTCGTAATTTTGTGTATAATTTAGTTTATAATTTAATATTATTTTAAAATTACATATAGAATCTTACTAACCATTAACAATAGGATACAAATTTTTTTATAAACGATTAAAATATAAGTTAAGTTTTTTCAGCCAGAACTTTTCTGTACTCGAGTAACCATTAAAATATTATATAATAAATTATAATTATATTTTAAATTTTATTATTCATGATAATTAAAAAAAAAGAATTTCATAATTTTAAAAGTTATAGTAAAAAAAACCGCTAGACTACTGCCAACCACATACTACCACTGGCAGCTACACAAGCCGCCAATGAAATAAATTCATATGAAGAAGCGTGTATGTATGTATGTATGTATGTGTGTATATATGTATGTATGTATGTATGTCTGTATGTATGTATGTCTGTATGTATGTGTGTATGTGTACGTGTCTATGTATGTGTGTAGTATTAACTGAAGCCTATGCTATATAGACTATTTAAATCATAGAAAAATTATACAAATGTATGTTCGTACGTATGTCTGTATGTGTTTGTTTGTGTATGTATGTTTTTATGTATGTATGTTTTTATGTATGTTATATATTTATGTACGTATTGTCTCAGCTCAATGCATGTTATATTTTATTAAGTGTAGGAAAGAAATTTTTCAATATAACATTAAAATTATTATTCATGTTCTTGTAAGAAGAGCGATTCAATGTACTACATACATTTATTATTATTATTCTTATTTTTCTTCTTAATGTTGTTATCATTGTTATTATTATTAAGGATTATTATTAATAATGATGATTATTATTATTGCTATTATTATTATTATTATTATTATTATTATTATTATTATTATTATTATTATTATTATTACTGTTATTATGTAAATTGTACGTGCATTGTTAATGCTGTATAACTATTGATCTATTTTCATTTGAAAAGCGAAAATAAGAAAGCCACTGCAGCTACTACTACTACCACTACTACTGCTACTACTACCACTACTACTGCTACTACTACTGCTACTACCACTACTACTGCTACTACTACTACTACTACTACTACTACTGCTGCTGCTATTACTGCTGCTGCTGCTATTACTACTACTGCTGCTGTTGCTGCTACTACTACTACTGCAACTAATAATAAATATATTAAATAAAACCGTTATTGGTTGTTACGGGTCTTCACGATTATTTTCCATTGCTTGCTTCAAATCTTCGTACGTTCAGACATACACATTCATACATTCAAACAAACAAACACACACACAAACACACACACACACACATACAAACATACATGCACACACATGTACAAACAAACACACACAAACAAGCGCACATACTTATATAAAATAAAATATATTGATCCGTTCTGCTATTCGTATTTCGTTATGATCATTGACTTTTTTTTCTTAAAAAACTTTTCAAACACTTAACAAATCATTTATATTTTATCAAAATTTTAAGTTAAATTTATGACAAAAATTATCAAAATTAAAATTGAACACAAGAAACGAACGTAGATCCATTTAAATCGGGCTTTGATAAACATAACGCTTTCACAGCAATCTTTACAATTTTCATGCATTTAGAGTTGTTTTGGGTTGAGTTTTTAGAGTGGAACTGCTCATTTCAATTTATTTCACTTCAAAGCATTACATGCAAGCATAAATCATTTCTTCCTTTAACACACAAAATGGCAACAAATGGTCTCTATTGATAATTTCATAAGATTGTTTTAACCAGATTTTTTTATAATACAATTTCTTCCTCCCTGACTTAGAGTGGGGGTAAAAAATGCCCCCATCTTTTCTGTGGACGTCCCTATATATACACCCAAATGACACATTACATACGTACCTACCCAATATAACAACTTTACTTACCTAACTACCTAAAAAAATTATAAAAATATTTATTGAAAATATCATTGACGCTATATCATCTATTGAAAAATAACATTTTCTAACTCTATATCGTCCTATCATTTAGTTACTTTATTATTATTGTTACTATGGTTATTATTATTATTATTATTATTAACTTCATTGTCGTTATTATTATTATTATTACAAATTTTATTGATATTATTGATAATTTCCGTATTATTATTATTGATATCTGTATTTTGATACTGCAAAGTTAATCGATCGTTATCTACTGATTCTTGGTAAGGCGGGGGCTTATCATTCTGATCATGGCTGACGTCATAAGGAGGAGGAGTTATGATAATGTTGTTGCCATCTGTTTGTAAGCAATCAGGTGCCGTCCGGTGATTAGCGTGCTCTTGATTGGCTGGTAAAAATAGGGTCAAGTTTGTTCTCTCACTGGATTGGCTGGCACCAGGACAGCTTAAAATCGTCTGACGAATCACGTTTCTTCCTTTAGGCCGAACAAATTTTTGAATAATTTAAGTTATTATTGATATAAAATTTTTGTAATTTTATTTTAAAATATTCATTTATACTGAGTTATAATAACGATTGAATAGACCTTGGTAATTATGATCGATTATTCGAGTAGGCTGTATGTAAAAATATGAATCATCAACCTCGCTGCTCTGAAGTCTTCTTCTACATGATTGGCTCCTATTGATAAATAAATAAATATATATATGCAATCTTTTAGGTGATTGGCTGGTTGGTTGATTGGTTAATATATGCAAGCAATTTGGTTGGCTGATTTGTTACGAGTGGTTTGATCGGTTGGTTGATTTGTTACAAGTGATTTGATTGGTTGGTTGATTTGTTATGGATGATTCAATTGGCAGATTGGTGAATTTAATTAAAATCTGAAACCTCTTCATGACATTTATGACGGTGTAGATGATGATGACGATGATGAATGTTCCTAATATGATGAAACCAATATCTCTACTCGCTATATCTTCAGCCGCTGGTATTTTATTTAATGGTGTTAATTAATTATTAAATTAATTAATTGATTAATTAATTAATCCATCTGTTCATTCATCAATAAATATTAAATAATTGTTACGTAATAAACTACAAGCCCTAATATTTGTGTTATTAGGTTGGTTGATTTGTTACGAGTGGTTTGATCGGTTGGTTGATTTGTTACGAGTGATTTGATTGCTTGGTTGATTTGTTATGGATGATTAATCTTAACAAATCATTAAACCAACTCGCCAACCAACTAACTAAACTAACCAACTTAATCTATTAGCCAAGCATTTTTTACTTCCACAACAATACCTGACAAATGCCAAGTTACCAACAAACTACTCTTTAGTTATAAGGTTACAGCTAAACGCTGGTCGGGTTGGAGTTGGAGCCACAAAGGCTGAAAAACGTATACCAAACGTGCATACATACGCTTTAAACTGTATAAGAAAACACATACACATTTTTGTGTGTACGTGCAAAGAAGTACCTCATATACTCTACGTAGTTCTTGCGTCTGGAACATCTTGCCTTCGAAGCAGGTGACCGCGCCATAGCAACGGAACGGCGACACGAGCCACAACACTTTTAACCTCTCACCAACAATATAATTAGTAACTACATAATAATAAAAAATGATATAGCGCTTTATTTACTAACCGATCCTCGAACTGCAGTCACAAGTGTGGTTGGATTCGTCTTTTACGATACAACCTCTTGGACAAACTCGTCCGGTTCCGTATCTCAACATGGTTACTATAGGATTTGGTGTGGTTGTGGTTTGTGTGGTAGCTGCTGTTGCTGCTGCTGATAGAAGGCGGGGATCCATGTGGATTTGCCGGGTATCCAGGGTCGGATGATGTTTGTCTATCTGCTTTTCTTGTTGCTGGGATGTCGTAAGGATACCATCCAGAAGATAGGCAGTTGATGACGCAGTTGGTGACGTCATTTCTGGGTTTTGTATTTATTTGTTTGTTATTTTGTCTTGATTTCGTTTATTTCTGTTTTTAGAGCTCCTTTGTAAAAGTATTTCCTGTTTTGTGTTTAGTTACTTTATGTTTAAAATACTAAATAACAACAAAAAAATTAATATTATTTATTTGCAGTAGTTCATTACGCATAGCTATTAAATTAGTAAAGTCAAGAAATGTTAAAACTTCAATAACATCGGTGTAAATAAAACTAAGCTCTACATAAATAAAACAGATAATAACAACAATAACAAATAATAATAATAATAAATAATGAAATAAATTTAAAATATACATTTTACCTCACAAAAGGAAGAAGAAGATGATGAAAAAATTTCTGAAGAGTTGGTCGTGCTGGTACAGTTACTCAAATGCTGAATTGTTGTTGTCTGCAAATGGAAAGCCAATATATATATATATATATACATACGTACATACAATACTACACACAATACATGCATACATATATACGTACGTACATACAATACAATACACAAATACATGTATGTATTAACCAATATAGATACATCAACACTGTTCAAGTTGTATAATGTAGTTGTTGTTACAAACATATGGT